GCAATGTCTTGGTCTTGGTCTTGGACTTGGTCTTGGTACCCTCAAGTCTCGGCAGTGTCTTGGTCTTGATACCCTCCAGTCTCGGCAATGTCTTGGTCTTGGTCTTGGACTTGGTCTTGGTACCCTCAAGTCTCGGCAGTGTCTTGGTCTTGATACCCTCCAGTCTCGGCAATGTCTTGGTCTTGGTTTAGGCGGTCTTGACTACAACACTAGGTATGTTTATGGTCTGCCTGCCCTACTACCTGAGACTCAAATTTTAAAATTTCAAAAATGTCAACTTGCTCATTTGACTTCCTCAGCCAGCCTCAGAAAGATGAGCTCCCCCATTCAGTCTGGTTTCTCCCTAGATTTCTTTTTTCTAGGGAGTTTTACCTTGGTACTATCTCCTCTGGCTTGCTCACTGGGGGCTTTGGGCAGGGATAATGTAAGGCACTTTTACACAATGTAATGTTGTGAAAATGCACTATACAAATAAAACTGAATTGAATTGAACTGAACTTGATCTTGTGAACACTGTAACTATAAAATTATTTACTTTTTCAAATTTCCCAGGAACATTGCATAGATGATCTGGGACCTAATTCAATTTTAGACAATTTGCACCAAAAATGAAGTAGTGTACCTAGGGGGGCTAGAGATTGTAGAGGTTGAAGGGTCTGGGGGCAACCAGGGAATACATTATTGTTCCTACAACAGCATCTATTCTAGTTTTTCCTCTCTTGTCCCTGCTTCTGGGATGGCAAGGGGGTTACCCATGTTTTCTATTCCGTTCAGTAGTTTTTTCAGACGTGTTTCTAGACTTTATAATGTGATGCACCACTTAAGGTCCTGCACTTGCTACATAACAACACCCATAACGACTGGAGGGTTAGAGTTAGGGTTAGGAAGCCAGAAGCTGATGAATGTGCAATAGTAGTGCTGCATCAGTACATGGTTATGAGGCTATAATATAAATAATATATGCTTAGTCGCTTATGTGTCATATTTCCATTATTATTGTGTTTCTGTCTCCCTGGTTGCCTGGCGTGGATGACATCAGCTGGCAGCCTGAAGTGAGGCCCGTGGAAAAAGTGTAAAAAAAAAATAATAAGTGTAGCACCATTGGTTGGATCCAATATTTAAAAAAAAAACTAACTTCAGCTTCACTTCCCTTCTCTGCCTGCTTGAGAAAGAACAAGTTTGTCACTGGATAAAAAAAGGCTGCGTTTCCAGCACTACAGAACCAACAAAAACTTTATTTTAACAATCCGATCGGCATCTATTGGTCTGTAGGCTGCCAAATTAATACCTGCCTACAAGATATTTACTATATACTCACTGTCAGTGTTAATTCTTTGCAATGCTGTATGCATGTATGCATCCACTTTCAAAAGCCATAAATGATATTTGGCAAGGAGCCAAACCTTTAACAATATATAGTGCATTTGCATTTTAAGCAATGGATTCTTAACAGGATGGACAAATGGGGAACTGAAAACCGTAGGATCGAAATTACTGACACACACTCACACCACGACAGGCAAACAGGCTGTAATGAATGAACAATCTGATTTGAATTCTGGCCAATATATCTAGTCACGCTTGCTAATGGACACAGAACATTTCTGATATTGGACAATAAAGCAAATCCACGAATTGTTTGTCTTTTATTTTATTGGACAATGTTGCACTCAGACTTTTAAGGTGACAAATGAACAGAGGCTGCTTTGTTTCCCAAAAATCCAGATGAACTATGTTATTTATTAAGACAGAGTAGCCATCTCAGATACAGGGAGACTGTCTTCTGGATAGTATTTTTATGCATAGTTTTTTATTTTTCTTCTATTTAGGTTACAATCTTCGCTCTTAATTTACAGTCACACGTCGCTTAGCGATGGGGATACATTCTGAGAAATGCGTCATTAGGCTATTTCAGTACTTTCAGAAACATAGATGGTATAGCCCTACTACACACTGATTCTATATGCTATAGTCTAAATAATGATAAAAAGTACATTATAGTAAATGCATAAACCCGTAACATAGTCATTTATTATTCATCCATCCATCCATCTTCTGTAACCGCTTATCCTATTTGGGGTCACAGGGGTCCAGAGCCTATCCCAAGGGCTATTGGTGCAAGGCAGGGAACAATGCGATACAATGTTACGTTGGCCATGACATCACTAGGCGATAGGAATTTGTCAGCTCTGATGTACTTTTATGGGGTCACCATTGTATTTATTGTGATGCGGTGCCTGACCATGTAACCATTATTCACCTGTACTCTCTATTTGCTAGTCTCAGGAGCGATTTTCATTCCACTGCAGGTTGTGCAAGTCTAACTGCGCATGTGACAAATAAAATGTTGAACCTCGAATGAAGTGTCTCTTCAATCACCAATACCACCCTTTGCAGCGCTGAGTGTCATTTATAAACTGTTTTTTTTTAAAAAAGGATGAGAAAAAGATTCCCAACGGGTATAACATTCACCAGATTGTCGGGGGGGGGGGGGCGATTTCCTCCCATAGATCTCATGGTTTCAAGCTCTGTTAATTAACTTCCAAATGAAGACAGAACATGGCTGTTGATTGGCATTAAGCTGACTGAGGAAACCCAGAATTCTGACATCTATTACCTGGAGGTAGTAAAGGAACTTCAGAGGAGGATCAAAGCAGGTTGTATTTACAGTGTTTATCCCTGTTAGTAAGCACACATGGAATGGAAAGATCGATTATGTTTTGTGCAGCAGTATCTGGAGCCATTTTGTCCTACCCATGGTGACTGTTTATTTGTACTTTGTGCAAAACAAAGCTCTAAAAATGCATTCTGAAAATCTTGGATTACTGTACCATTAAATAAGAGACGTAATTATATGTTACACAGTTGCCTGACAGCTGGCAGATGTGTTGGCAGCGTTCATGGAAAGGAAAGGGACCTGACCGTGCTGTTAGATATTTGGGGTTTTGTGTTTCATGGTGGTATGATGTCTGCGCCTTGAATGTGAGCCACACCCTCACTTTTACACGAGAGCGTGGAGTTGAGTTTCCCAGCACAAGAAACACTATCTATGCGTCATGTTATTCCAGTGCAGCGCGATATTTAACCGAAGCTTCTGTAAATGTAAAATATATTTTAAATGAATGTCACTATTCAAAGCCGCTGCTTGAGGTTGCCAGTTTCCCAGCATCTACGATGTATTTGCACTGCACTCTGTGGTCGTTATTTTAGCCACAATAATGAGCAGGAAACAGCCAGGTGCGTTAGTTTCATTTTTAATTGTAACCATGTGCCAGCAGTATAAACTCATCCAGCTTCGTAACACTGAGCTGATACAAATGCATTTTTATTCAGCGTCACATAAATAACGCAGCCGACCCTTTCAGGCTACAGATCTGCTCATTCAGGCTTGAAAAGTGCACTTTCTGTTTGTCCCTCCAAAACCGCAAGTTCAGCCTCCTCCTTTTATAACCATCAGGAGAGCGACGAAGTTAGACGCAGGCTGAGGGTCCAGACGTTTGCAAAAACATCTGCTTTCACGTTGTGACTGTGCAGGCCAGGTGCTGAGGATCACCGCACCCACCTAAAATGGGCAGAGCGGGCCGGCTGGGATCAAGCAGTGACTGAGCTAGATAATAATGTCAACTGAGAGAATGAAGAAATTGACATGCCTTCATTGTGTCACCATAGCAACAGCAAGGGAAACAGTATCACTATTTGTCAATGAATTTAATTACTTCTATATCTTAAACTTAACAGTCAGAGTTGCGGTTGATGGATAATTCCACGACCACCAATTTCACGTGTTTCTCAGCAAACAGAGAGGATGTTCATTTTAATGGGGAATATAAGACTTAAACAGGCTAAAACTTATAGGAATATAATGTTATCTGTACAGCATTTAAAAAGTCAAACGTTGTAACAAATGTTTGACTTTGACAATACATTTTTAAGTAGTTTATGAAAGCATTAAAAAACAATAATATGTACGTAAAAATCTCTTGAGATTATGGCACCATTTTGAATTTTCATGAAAAGCGTATTTTAGTTAGAAGGATAGTAGTTCAAATCACAGGGACACAGGAAATTGTAACCTCTGCTGTATGTTGCTTTGGATAAAAGCATCAGATAATTGAGTAAATAATAATAATCGATACTTTATTGATTCCTGTGGGGAAATTGTCTTTACACCTCCCTTAACTTTTTTTTTTTTAAATAGAGTAAGTTTCCTGCAAAGGGCAGCTACCCATAGTGGCACCCAGGAAGCTGGGGGTTAAGGGCCTTGCTCATGGATCTGCATACTGTATATGCTGAGGCTAGGTTTGAACTGGTAACCTTCTAACTACAGCCAAACCAGCTTAACCCACTGAGCCACACACTGCACAACAGGCTGGATTAGGGTTAAACTCCACCACAATGGTCATTTCTGATACTAAAGAAAACCTGAGAGAATGACTGGGAACACAAGCAGTGTGTCAGTGGAAATTCCTATAAATCAGACAGTAAGGGAGGGGGCTTGGATGGGGAAAGGAGGCAGATCTGTGTCTCTGCCTGCTTGTCTGCTTCCTCCTCTGCCTTTAGACCTGCCTTCCGCTGCTGACATCGTTTTGTAACAGGGAGACTATGCCGGGATCACTCTTAGCGCCTCTGATGAATTCATCCAGGGACAATCGTCCTGTAATGGAGATCAACGGATCAACATCAATTAATGCTAAAAGATAAGGAGGGATGTAGGAAGATATGGCATATCTACATCATACAGAAAAGTCAGCAGACTGACAGCTAAAACTGGCATATAAATGCTAAATTATTATGGCATACAATATAGGGCATTGAATTTTTATGACAACATGAATTTAAAGTAGTTTAACACATGTGACAGACCTGGAGATTAGAGGTGGTCGGAACACTGGAGACTGTGCACCACGATACGGATTAGCATCGTGCCGTTAACACCGGCAGAAGTCAACAGCCTAATTATACAACAGCCTATTTACGCAAAATAAAGCATCTTGTGATATTCAAAGCTTCTGGTGTAATCTGAATTGTCTTATAAGGTATACATAACCGGTTTATCTGCATTGATTTTTCTACTACACGTGCTCTAATGCCGTGCCCTGATAGCAAATTGACAAATTCAAAAACAGATTCAAAAATTCAAATAGATTTTGTGTAATTATCCACATTAAAAAAAATAACATAGTTACACGCACACACGTCAGGTAAACATATGTTTATGGGGACCGCTCATTCACACACACACACATATACATAGACACACACACACACATGCAAGGTGTGTGGAGGAAAGTACAGCTGCCCAGTTCACACATCAATGAACGTCAAGCTCCTTTAACCTCTAAGCAAAACATACATCCGCTAATGTGCCATTAGTGTTAATAACAGCAGCAAATCTAACACTCAACCAAAAAGCCGTAATGTTCCTAATAGAGCGGCTGCTCTGTCCTGAAATCGTAAAGCTGAAAAGTTTTCAAAGCAAATGTTTTTTATAAAATGTTGGATAAATGGATGCAGTTTACTGGTGATTTCATGTTCGTCAAAGTTTACGTCTTTTAACAACTGTATAAAGTAATGTAATTTTTTATATTCAAATCAACTCAGGTGAAAAAAATTTAAAACGTACATTCCCAGGGTTGCCAATTCTCATGCTCACGCAGGAAATCTTACGGCAAATCTATATTATTCCATTATACACCTAAAATTAGCAACATCAAACGCGTTGGGGTAGTTTGCAAACCCTACCGACCATTTACAAGGTAATAAAACTGTAATAAAATGAACGTGAAAAAACATTACTTGTCACTTTTTATATCTTTTCGAAATAAGACTGCCCATACCCAACTGTAATAGCGATTAAAGTGTACTTAATAAAAAATGTATTGTGTTGATTTCCATAAAGGGACAAAACCTGGAAAAGAGTAATACCATGATATAATACTGTTACCGTACAAAAAAGTGAAAAATGCCATGATGATAATTTTAGGTGACATTGCCCACCCCCACTGGAGATCATGCCTCTGTGAGGGTGAGAACGGCCCATCGGCAGTGCATCAGAGGGGAGAGTCAGGTGATCATGAATGCAAGGCTAATTTAATCCACCTGCTCCTGGTTCCCTATGTGCGTGATGTGGGTGTGTTTCCTCACTGATAACCTATTACAGGGGGCCTGTATCATAAAGCCAGTTTTCTTTTTTAGCTGGATAAGTTATCTTGCTAACCCAAAACTGCAGCTTCGTGATACAGGTCCTAGCTGTTCCCAAAACACAAATAAATATTTTGGTTATTTTTTCCCTGCTCAAATGTCAGTGTTTGTTCTCCAGTCTTTTTGACTTTTTAGCGCTCTGAGAGACCCATCCCTGTCTTGATCCAGTCTGTTCTGATGACCTCAGGGTCACATTCCCTGTATCTTGTGACCTGTACTAGGAAGCGGGGTTACTGGCTTATCGGGGTGACTTGTCGGATTTAAGGTACCACAGTTTAAATGGACCTCATATTCGTTCACTTACATTTTGCCCAGACTACCTTAAATCCGACAAGTTACCCCGATAAGCCAGTAACCGCGCTTCGCAGTACAGGCCCCTGTTCCCGCTCTCCAGCTGCCATGTTAGTTGTGCCTAGTCGATTTGGTAACACGCCCTTTTGCATTCACACATCTATCAGCAATTGTCGTTTCCTCTATTGAGGATCCAAACGGTGTAAACATAAAGCTTTCATTGGTAGTACAAGCACATTAATAATGCACGGTTTATAAAAACGCTACACTGAAAGTGTCAATGTTAATATCCAGAGCAGCATTTACCGTCCTTATTTGTGTCCATCGCCATAAAAATCTTGTTGGTCCGCTTCTCTGGCGTTGATTCATCGTCGGGCATCTTTATCACAGAGGACACCATCTTGTAAATGGCCTTAGGGGAAGGCAGAGAAGAGAAAGATCAATTATACTGTGAATGAGAGGAGTCACAACATCTCGTAAACAATTCATATTTCACTAAGGATGGGGAAGAAAGACTTTGTTTGGCCCTCTTACAAATGCTTTAAACTCCCCCAGAGATGTCAGACTATAGTGTTAGCCGCCAAGCTACCGTGTCACACCTAGACAAAAACGACACACAGGCAGTCCCCGGATTAAGAACGTCCAATTTACGAACAACTCGTGCAAACGAACAGACTGCTATAAAGCCTATATCATTAAATTACGTTATCGGGTCAAATACAATGTTTCGTAATAACGAACGCGCTCACTACTTTATGACGCTTCTTATAACATCGCGCAGCTTCAGCGGTTCATGGGTTCGAGGTACAGTACAGTACCGTATGTATTTGGTATTATTATTACTGTATAATTATTATCATATATTGTATTATTATTTTTCTAACTTCACGCCTCACCAAAACAGCAAGTTCATCTGCACCACAGTTAGGTTTACATTTTGTCGATTAGCAAACTCATTTACTTAATAAATTGAATAAATGTAACCTCTTTAGACATCGGCGTTGGAGGAATTAAGGTGAAAGTATTTGTTTTCCACTGCAACTACAACCAGACTGGTCTAACTGCTAATCAAGTAATTAAGTCATGTCAATGTCCTTAATCACTATGCAACGCGTTGTCAACGTGTTATCGCAGCCACTGCATCTTGACATAACTGCCAGTCCACCTCTAGAACTTCTGCATCATAGCAACCCAACCCCTGCACCTACATCTGCAAACATTTACTTTCAACTTTCATAAATGTACACGGCCTCCGTATGCAAACGCAGCTTCACACCTTCTGTGGAGAAACAGGATGGCTATTTTAAAGGGAACGAGGAGCGGAACAGGACGGAACAATCAGTCACGCTGTTTATTCTAGTAAACCCAGATCACAAGACCTCAGGCTGTATCAGTGTTGACACTGAGCAATCTTTCAATGGAGAACAAATAGAGCGATGGCTGCTTATCTCCAGCTGTAAAGATGTTATCACGGCTGAGTGTCTGAGTGTGGTTTCGGTTCATTTTTGGGGGGCGAGTGGCGGTTGCCATTAAGACACAACCACAAAAGACTAACATGTTCTGCGTCTTTGTTTGTGCAAACACACGGCAAGTGGAGATTAAACGTGCTCGACCTGATCATGGATCCTGGGAAGATGGAACAACCAGACAGCAAGTGCAGGAGAATTAAACTGCAATTAGCTTCATCATAAAGTGACAGGTTTTACATTAGAGCAGGGTTTCCCAATCCGGTCCTCGGTGACCCACAGCCGGTCCGCGGTTTTGCTTCCTCCCAGCTCCCAGTAGCAAAAATGTGGACTGTCTGGCAGGGAGGTAGGAGGGAGCAAAACATGGACCGGCTGTGGGTCCCAGAGGACCGGATTAGGAAACAATGCATCTGAGATTAGCTTTAAGGTCCAGAAACTTACCTGAAAAAAACACTTTGAGAATCGAATGTCACACCAACTCCACATATTCGCACTGGGAGCAGTTCGGAGCTCTTATTTAATTAATCCCACTTTTAAGCCATCCACCCATAGCTGCATTATAGATCCTGTGGAAGAGGCAGCAGAAACTCACCTGCACGATCTCCAGCATCTCTGCCCGGCTGATGTATCCATTCCCATCCAGGTCGTACATAGAAAAGGCCCATTTCAGCTTCTGCTCCAGTTCACCGCGGGACGTGACGCTCAAGGCAATGATGAACTCCCGGAAGTCTATGGTGGCATCACGATTGGTGTCGAATGTACGGAAGACGTGCTCGGCAAACTTGGACGCATCTCCGTATGGGAAGAAGTTGGCGTAGATCTTTTTGAACTCTTCCATATTCAGGTGGCCCGTCGGACAGTCCTTCAGAAAGCCCTTGTACCACTCTTGAAGCTCGCGGTCTGTGAACTTGGTATTCTCACGCAGGTCGCTGAGAACCTCTGGACGTAGCTTGCTGTTCTGCTTACCCATGATGTATCCCTGTACCTTATACTTACTTGTCCTCTTTCCTGTCACTCGTTTGACCTCTTCTTTAGGTTGGCTACTATGTATTCTCTTTCCTTTTCTTCTTATGACCTCTTTGCAGATTCCAAGCACTAGATAAAATAATTATTATTGTTATTATTCTTCTCTCCATCCTTCCTTCATTCATCTACAGCTTGTGTTATGCAGGACAGCCTACCCCGGAAACAATGGGCACAGAGCACGGACTATCCCAGGATGGGGCACCAGCCCATTGCAATATTATTATTATTATTATTGTTGTTGTTGTTAACTGTAATACATTAAATGGTATGTTTATTTGATTGGAAAACAAAAAGCAAACTGCAACATCACCAGAACAAAATCATATTCCTCTTTTTTTAGTACACAAAACAGCTTTTGCTGTGTCACATTTTCCCTCCTTGTTAGTTAATTCCAAGTGAGGACTTTAAATAAACCATACGCAGGAACACAAGTCTTTTCAGTTTTTCCCCCCCATACAAAACACACTTTTCACACATGAGACATCCACACCATTCTATGTGGGAACAGCTGAACCACTTTTAGAAACATTTATCAGTATCTGCAGTTGTGAAAAGTGGCGAGAACAGTAGATAATTTTTCTTCAATAAACAAATGACTCTACAACAAAGTAGATTTATCTTAAGTTTTCGAGACTTGCTTTTGTTCCACATTTCTGTCCATTAAACTATTTTGTTACTAACATTAATTTTCGGAGCAAACATACATTTAAGAAAGTGAAATGGACACAGACTAAGGATAAATGCAGAACGCTGCGACCGGGCAACGTGGATGTGCCTGAATTGGGTTGGTGTAACTTTGAACCCTCGGCGACGAAACGGTTGGTGTCTAATCTATTACAGAATACCCATCCTTCCTTGTTATACAATAAATGCTTGTTTACAGGAGGGAAAAATGCAAAAATGATGTTTTTTTCATTCAGTTATATTATAATGTAAAGTAACTTAACGCATTAATGGACATGAGTTTGTGGACATTTTCTTTAATTTTTAAACCTATGTCTATCACGTTCATCGAACTGATGTCGATTATATTTCGTTTTCCTAAAATAAATGACAAAATACTTAAATCAATCAAGAAAACGAGACAGCATCGGGAAGGCTTGTGAACAGTGGTTTTGCAATTCATAGCATATCTAATACCTCTGCTGCTTTTCATTCTATGCTTAAAAAAGTCAAACCCGTGTTACGCCTGTATGTGTGATATTTTCCGTCTGACCCCACGGCCACTACAAAGTCTGAGGAAAGTCGCTTCGGCGTTACGAGAAGTCCGAAAGGATTTTAAGTATTTACAGCGAAAAATCAGTGTTTCGTTTAGACACGATATGGGAAACGGAATATAACATAATACGCGTACAGAAAACCATATAATAACGGAAAAAATAACAAAATCGTTCAATGAATAAAGAGGAGTACATCCCACGCATGCTACTACTGCAAAGTAACTTACATAACACGTTTCGTCCTCGGTGCTCCGACGTGTCGTTTCGCCGATCAGTCAGAATTACTCCTTTTCCTGTCTTTCCCTGACCTTTCTGATTTATAATTTCTATTTCCGAGCTAATCCTTGTGCTTTTCAGGCTTAGATGTACCCAGCTCTCGTGCAGTCCTAGTGAAAGACGACTCCCGTTCATAAATGCGGCCAGATGCGCGCAGCCAGGAAGCAGCCTAAGTAACGGAAAGGCAAAAGAGAAACAAAGCAGGCATATATTGCAGCTCTATCTGCGTACAGTATGAATGCACCTCTAAACACGTAGGCGTATGCACTGAATCCATTCAAAAGTAATGCAATGCTTTTTTTAAAAAAAAAAAAATAGGGATCCAGGATAGATTCTTATTTAATGTCTAACATACACTAGTGGCCAAAAATTATGGAAACACTTCCGATTTTCAGAGACTGCAGCACTTTTTTAAACTCCAGTTACTTATTTAGTTGTCCAATGCGTGATATTTGTAAACATTCTTTGATTGTTTATAAATATTACCGCCAATATTTGTGTAGTAATTTAATAAAGTAATGCCAAAAAATGCTAGGTATTTCCACATTTTTTGCCACTAGTGTATATATAACACATAAATCCACAAAGTCCTCCTATGACTTTTAGCCTTACCAACTTGTGATAAACGTATTGTAACTGTTATCTTGGCCTCTGAGAGAGGCATGTTATGTATATGTGCGAAATGATATTGTTAAATATATTACAAAACATATCACAATACAAGGCTAATTGGTAGGCCTGATATATCGTTAAATAAGTACTTTTGTTAACACAAACAGCCTGCTCTTTAATACAGTGAGCCATGTTACTGCAACTGAATATATACAGCACACTGTAGTCAACAGCAAAAATGAACATACACGTTAATGATAGAAGCAAGAGGAAAATGTCCAAATCTGCTAAAGTCATTAGTCCAAGGGCGTAACTTTGGATCGAACATTGAGGGGTTGAGGGCCCAACAATATGATTTTTTTTCTTTTTTGGGGGGGGGCAGGGGGTTATTGGCCGGTTCTGATTTTTGGGGGCGTTACAGCCCCCACCCCACCTAATTTACGCCCACGAATCAGGCAGTGCAAAACTCACACCTCAGTACAATACCTGTGTGCAAAGCGGCATCTCTGCATCTACAACTTGCCAAAACTAGAAGCATTTCTGAAGCCAAAAGTGGGCCAGTTCTACCTAGGTGTGTGTTATAGCTACAGTAGGTGTTCATTAAAAAGTGACCACTGACTGTACATATTACCCATAAATGATTCATGCTTTAATAGTTAAATGAAGCAGAATTTGCCTATTTTTGAAGAGAATTGCATTGTTCACTCTCAGAGATCTAGGATAACTACATCTAGCTGCACATGCTGGCAGAGGTGGCAATTTCAGGTCCAGAAAGTACAAATCCAGACCATGATTTACTTTCAACCAGCCAGTTGAGTACTCTGTGACTGTGACTCTTTATGCTCAACTGGTTGGTTGAAAGTAAATCATGGTCTGGATTTTTTACTTTTACTGAAATTGCCACCTCTGCATGCTGGTTAGGTTTACCTCCTAAACAAAGTGGCACAGGGCACAAGGCCAGGTAAGATCCTGGCAGGATGCCAGTCCATCACAGGGCACAGACAAGTCAAGAGATTTATTTGTCACATACATACAACATGCAGTGAAATGTATCTCTGTGTCACCCTTATGTGGCTGTGTAAAAATAGAAAGAAATAAAAATAGAAAAAGGTAAGAAGTAAAGTCGGAGTAAAAAGAGAAATTACAATATATAATATATAAATACTAAGTCACACACACATACAAACTCATGTTTGGATTCGAATGTTTGTGGGGACCGTCATTCATTTCTATACTAATGACCCCTCCCCAGCCAAAACCTTAACCATAAGTAACCAAATAAAGTGAATTTGACATTTTTAGTTTTTTGATTGCACTGACAGATTTTTATAAAACTGAAGAAATAGTCCCCACAATGTCAAAATATCAGATTTTTATCAGATTGTGGGGACATTTCGATCACATAATGTAACGTAGACATGACCCACAGAGATACACAGGGCTGGGGTGGGACTCAAAATCTCATGTAAGTAAATCGCCATTTGCAGCTTTATCAGTCCAGCCAAAGCACCGTGCCGTTTCTGACAGGGATGGTACATCAACACAAATATACCAGCTCTGTTTATTCTTAGCTTTTGCCCACTGATGTCACACACACAGTATCTTTTAAAGTCTCTCATTTGGGCTGACTATGCTCAGTAGAGTAACCACAGTAAGAGAAATTCCTATACCCCCATGCAAAAATTCTCTTTTGCTAAAGTTGCCTAATTTCTTGGTGATGTCTGTAGGTTGTGTCTGTCAGTTGAAGGTCTCTGGCAGATTGATATCACTATTGGCCCTTGAACAAGACCTTTATCCTTTAGCTGCTCTAGGGACACTGTGTTACTCTGTATACTTCAGGTATGACGTAATAGTGAATAGTGCTACCCACCAAACCACTACTCTGCACCGTGCTGTTTACCAAAAATGATTGCATTTGGCCCAACATGAAGTTTTACTTTTACCAAAAGATACAATTTTTAAACATCTTTTTGGGTCGCTTTTAGTTAAATTTCTTTAGATAAAAGAAACAATTATCAAACATTAATAAGTCACACCAGCATTTTGTAGAACCTCTTTAAGTACCTATAAGTCTCAATGCCAATGCAAACCTGGAGGACCCGGGCGGGCCAGTATTACGCAGATTGACAGCTGGCCCATCCAATGAAAAGAGTTTCTTGTGTACCGTGAAAAGCCTGTTTTTTTCCAGCATGAGGTGTCTTTCTGTGCGCTGCCCATATCACCACCCATGCTTAAAATAAAACTAGTCACATCCTCAGCTAGATATGATTAGCAATTTAGCTTACAAATCGGTTGCCCGCCACTCTAATTATGGCGAAGCACATATCTGAATACACTACCTCACTCACCTCACTGCTGACACTGTAAAATGGTCTCATACAGTTTTAGACTTTTTAAACCTGTTGCACTGTATTTTATACTATTACACCCTTAAACTGGTTTTTGTACTGTGCTTTTTAAATGGGTTTATACTTTGTATCTTATTTATGTATCCTATTTGTTCTGCTGTACACTGTATTTCATGCTGCTACTGTGTTTACACTGTATTTCAGTTTTTTATTTGCTGCTATTATTCCTAAGCTAATTATCTGCATCCTACCTGCTCACTGCACTATTTGTTACATGTGCTTGGTTGTTGCACTACAGTGTTGCAATAGTTTGTCTGATTGTCTTGCCTGACTTTGCACTGTCATGTCACAGCTGCACGTTATGTCTGTCCCACGTGGCTAAATCCCACAACATTTGCCCCTAGAGAAGCACAGTTTCAGCCCTCTGTGTACTGGCTGGGCTGACAATAAACATTCTTGGTTTGAGTCTTGATTAACTAAAAAAAAAAAACAGCAAATAGAGGTAAACAGAGAAGAAAATGGCAGGCCTGTGCACGACATCGGATGACCACTAGGTGTCCTCACCCTCCATCTGCTCTAGCCCTTATCCTGTTTTCTGTGAGATGTGTTTGGTAGGCCCCCGCCAGACCTGTCTGCTCCATAGACACCGGCTACTCAGCCCACATTTATAGAATTTCCTAAAACCACCAAGAAAGGCAAGTGCAGATGATTCTGGTCAAAGTGGAGCACCAAGTTTACATTCTTGGAGTATGATATTTCTAGATGTGTCATCATTTTATTGATACAATGTTTGAGCGAGTCTTTGTAACTGAGGGGTACAGAGGCTGGAAAACAGAGCTGCCAACTCTCATGCATCTGGCGTGACTCTCACACTTCCAGACTATCACACTCACACAAGAAATCTTATGGAAAATCTATATTATTCCACTATAAACCTAAAATTAGCTACATCAAAAGCACTGGGGTAGTTTGCAAACCGCACAGATTATCTACAATATAATTAAACGGTTACATACATGTAAATGCGTGTGCTAATAAAATAATAATAGGTCTAATAGACGTAGTAAAGGAGGTAATAACTATTCTCAGCGAAATCTGAGAGTAGAATATAGTGGCGCATCATATTTCACAAAAATCCACCCATTTTTACATTTCTGGCCACGTCACTGAACAGTACCAAATATTTTCCTCAATATATAATTGCAATTTATGCAAAAAGCTCCCGAAATTCATACCATAAAACACCGGGGACCTAAGCCCTTTGCTAAGTAAGTATAGATATAGCGATTTTGACATTGACGACGTTTTCTGAGATTTCGGCTGTGCGGTAGGCTACTGCTGAAGGACTGCATCTGTAATTAACAAGAACATCCACTAGGGGGCATATAAGGCCAGCTAACTCTTCTGCAAATCGTTTATAAATTTGTCAATATAAACCAAATATTTTGTAGGCGTTCTAGTTTGGGTTTAAAACATAAAAAACACGGGGACTGTTAAAGACTTATTTGACTAAGTTCAAAACTGGACGTTCTCAATATTAAAATATCTCTTTATTTAGACAGCAGTTTTACAATCCATGGTTAATTTGCAAAACGTATGTAACAGAATAATAGCTACTATCAGGTAACAATTATTTCTCAAAGAGAACTTTTTTGACAGCGGATCACACATAACTCACTTAAATGTACACCATGTTTCTAATGAGTATTTTTGTTTATTCACTGTCGACAGATTAATATTTACTTAAGCACAGCTCCCATGTTCCCAAAAATCCATGAGAGAATCCAGAATGGTCAACAGGACTCAGTGATTCTCACTGGCCTGGCATGGAGCCATACATGCTACATTTATAACATAGGTGCTATCAGCTAATCCTCTGCTAGCTGATATCAAACATTACTAGAGCATCAACGGAAAAGCAAGTGGTGGCAATAATGAGATTGCTGATTTTTTTTCTTTGTTTTGTCATTGACATACAGATGAAGCAGAGGTGTGTATTGGGAAAACGCTGTAAGGACTGTTTTTCATTTAAGCTGTGGTGTCAGACCGTCCCAAGGAAGGGAGGAAGACATAATTTAGACTATGATGCTGAAGGACGAGAGAGAAAGTGCAGCCCCCTTCGCTCACTTCCTGGACAGGCTTCAGCAGTGGCTTGTGTGTTCAGCTCCAGTCGTGTAATAGGAAAGATAAACAGCTGAAAATAGTACAAAGTTTGTAGCTATTGATCCGTGAGATG